CACTGCTCTTGGCTTGGGGGAGAGGGCAAAAGGTTGCAAGGAAGAAGAGCCGCAGAGGACCCGGCAACTCCCAAGGGGTCAGAAGAATGAGAGGGAGGCGCAGTCCCCACTTTAGCCCTGGGTTTTTCATTTCCACTGGGCATGCGGTGTATCCCGCGCCCCCAACTTCGGTGCTCAAGAACGGAGTTTTGTACCTTTTTCTAGTATTTGCACCAGTTCAGTGTGTGGCATCTAGCCTTTAAGTTTTCCTCAGGACTCGGGTTGCATCCTACCTTATCCTAGGCATTGATTTAAAACGGGTTGCTTCCCCAGTCCCAAACCAGGCCTCTCAAGCCTGCCCGAGGGGTGAGCGTTCGAGTTAGCGGGATTTGGCCAGAGGAGCCAGGGGAGATCTGGTAAGGGGGCGGCACCTCGATTTTTCTATCTGGATAGTTCCAAGCTGAGGTCAAGGCTTGAGTACAACTTTTAACACTCTCAATCTCAGGCATCGCCCCCCACCCCCCGCGCGCCCAACTTTCCCGGCCCTGGGAAAGTTCTAAAGATCCTGCTCCTAGCTCAACTCAGCCTTCCCATGCTCGGGAAAGCTCTGGCCCTCTCTAGAATACTTTCCCCCCCTCAACAGCTCTCCATTTTTAAAAGGTATAGTTGAGATGACCAACCCTAGGGTAGAGATACCAAAGGAAAATGTGTCCTTCCTCCAGCTACTGAAAGCTGGGTCTCCTTTTCACACTGAGCTGGGGGTGGGGTGAGGCTGGAAGGTATTTTTCAGAGCCCGGCCTCTGGCAAAAGCCCCAGAGCATTGATGTTGGGGGTGTGGTGGAGAGCGCCACCCAGGGGTCTCAGAAAAGTTACCCACACAGCCCTACCTCAAGTCATGAGGTCTTCTTAGCTCCAGGCGACAGTTAGGGGTGCTGTGTCCTTGACTGGCAAGGGCTAAGTTTACACACCGACTACCCAGGGCTGCTAGTGAGGTGTTCATAATGACCAGGCATCCCATCCTAGCAAGGGACTTCCAGTTCTCAGACTAGCAGTGGGAGAGAGAAGTCAGAAGAAGAGAACAATAAAAAAGTGAAGGAAGAAAGCAGTGATTGAGTAACCCTCTAATAGGCAACATCACATGGATGAGGCAAGGGGAGTCGTTCCCCCCCCCCCGAAGTCATTTGGTATACAACAAAAAGGAATCCTGTTTAAAGGCTACCTGATTTTTCAAGCTAAGGCCAACCTTCTGTGATTCTGTGAGACAAGAGGAATTTGAGGAAAGTTAACAAAGAACTGCCATTAAAAAAAAAAAAAAGCAAAAGTGGATGAGTATAAGGGACAGGAAAGCCCCCCATGGATGGGTGCCTTGCTAGGGGAATGGAACCACTGCACTTGTTGAGCTCCTGTCTAAAGAGGGCTTGCTGTCTAGGGTCCACAGCCACCTACCAGCCTCTCTCCAGCAGTCACCGGAGAAGCACACAATTAACCTCTGATCCTATTCTCCCATTAATCCTCAAATCAGAGAAAGAGAATCTGTGGACACAATGGGAAAGAAAGAAGGATTCCTGCCTGGCTCTGGCCTCCACCCACCCCCAACCATAGTCACTCTATGTGAAAATCTCCCTT